CCAAATTGCCCTGCACGGCATGGACGCTCACACCCAGAGAGGCCCCTGCCCTCGGGGTCCTGCATGGTCCTCAGGACACTGTGCCCACAGGAGGACCGAGGCCAGCAGCTTTCAGGATGGACCCTGAGCCCCCCCCCTCCTGCCCCTCCCGCACCCACAGGTCAGCCCAAGTCTGCACCCTCCGTGTCTCTGTTCCCGCCATCCGCTGAGGAGCTCGCCAACAACAAGGCCACACTGGTGTGTCTCATGAGTGACTTCTACCCGGGCAGCGTGACGGTGGCCTGGAAGGCAAATGGCAGCCCCGTCACCCAGGGCGTGGAGACCACCAAGCCCTCCAAGCAGAGCAACAACAAGTACGCGGCCAGCAGCTACCTGAGCGTGTCCAGCCAAGACTGGAAGTCCGCCAGCGCCTACAGCTGCCAGGTCACGCACGACGGGAAGACCGTGGAGAAGACAGTGGCCCCCTCGGAGTGTTCCTAGGACCTGAGTCCCCACTTCTGGGGACACTTCTCAGTCAGACGCTCCCTTTCCCTGCTCCCCACTGTCCCCCTGTGGCTCCTGCCCTGGTCGCTCAGACTGGGCAGGTCACCATCCCTCCCCGTTCCCCCTTCTCCTGAATAAACTCCTGTCATTTCTCATCTGACATTTCGCATGTGTGTTCTGTGTGGGGAGGATCTCAAGGTGAAATAAAGGGCGCGATGGTTATGATATGTGGTTCCATCTACCCATCGTTGGCTCAACCAACCAACCAGGCACCTGAATCAGCTCTGAGTGCCAGTCGGAGCCAGGACCCAGAGCAGGAACTGCTCCGATGGGGCCGACACCTGGGACACAGTCCCTTTTAACCTAATGAGGGTCCCAGAAGGGCAGCAGGGGCTACAGATGGAAATATTGGGAAGGAATCCATTGAGCCAAGTCAATCCTCTTAGGGAGAGACATTGAACCCAGTGGGGAAATCCATTACCATCTGGGCGTTTCTTGGTTGGTCCATCACCATGGAGTCATGGAAAGTTTTGAACAGAGCATCCCATGCTGTGTTTGTCAAAGTTTGCCAATGTACATTAGCTAAGCAATGACACCGACTAATCCTGCAGCAGAGAAACAATTAAATATCATGTAGCCTAACAATTCCCCCATCATGTTCATTCCTCCTACCAACACAGGGAGCTCTGAGACAGTCTTCAAGGGATGATCACTGGTGTGGGAACATGGGGTGAGGAAGAGGCACAAGGAAGCTCAGTTTATATTCTGATGGGCCTGGGTCAGGTTCAAGGTGATCATAGCAGGGGTATGGACTTCCATCATGAGGAATCTCAACAACTGATGTCATATCAGGGTGAGACTTTTTATAGGTGGATTAAGGATGGAGCGGGTGATGTCAGCCCTCAGGTGGCGTAGACATGGGAGTTGACCTTGAAGGATTAGAAAGGACACCATCCTGGGCACAGAATGGGCATCCAGTGATGTCCCAGGGAGGGCATATCCACTGGAATTCGGGAGCCGAGTAAGGGCAGGTCAGACCAGCTCAGAGCTGGGGGCGTGTGGCCTGTGGGTTACAGCAAGGTCAGCCTTCCTCCTTGACAGATACCCCCACACCACTCCACCATTGGGAGGGAAGGCAGGGGACACCCTCAAGGTCATCCTGAAAGACAGGCTGACAATTCTAAAGGACCACCCTGACAGCACCCTAAACAGTGCCAATCTAAGCTGTCGATAGAGAAGATCATCCTGAGCCCCTGATCAGATGGCTGGGGACACAGGAAGTTGCCAGGAGATTCCATACACAGGCTAGCCAGCCTTTCCCTGGAAGGGGAGGAAGGGAGAGAGGGATTAAAGGCCGCCCACCTCTCATGCTCTCACCCAGGGATTAGGGTTGTTGGACATAAGAGAGATGTGCCACCCATCCCCATGGAATCTCACTCACAGTGAAATAAACACCCTCTAAACTCATCCCAAATCCAAGGAGACCGCAGTAGACAGAGCATATCAAACCCCAATATCCTTTGGGAGAGTTGCATCCAATAGTCCTGCTACTGTAAGAGTCGCTGTGTCATCCATCCACCCTACAATCTGCTGAGAGGGTGGAGGGGGGACAGTGTGCGCCCCTGGCAGAGCAGACAGCAGCCGGGGGCAGTGGCCCAGGCTTCCTCCAGCACAGCTGCAGGTGGGGGCACAGGGGTGGGGCAGGGCCACCCAGGGCT